ACGTTTTTAACTGCAGCATGGTACCCCTCAGGTAACCATGGCTGAATAACTGTAAGAGGTGGTGGACCGAGACGCTGCACTCAGCCCTGGCCGCATAAGTGGTCATAATACAGCACACCTTCAAGGTGTAAGGAGTGAGCTGAGCCGGACACACATTGTAAAAACGGCAAAGCTCCTCCATCAAAGGGTAGATTGGAAGATTGTAACCGATCAAGAACGGGTACTCATAGAATGTGCAATATCCAGGCCGGTGCACATTGGCATAGTCCGTCCCGGCCGGAACCATTTCCACGTGGTCCGGAATATGGTGCGTCTCTCGAAGATCATCTAAATGGGATTGTAATAAAACGCTGTGCTCCCAGGGAAGGTCTGGGCTTTTAGTTGGAAAATCCCTGCGAACATGCATCTCCTTCGGAAGGACGTTGTCTACACTGAGAGGAACAAGGGCCTTCTCCGCCTTTTCCCCTTCACCACCGGAAGATGGCGGAACCCTAGACGGGGCATTATCTTTGGCCTTTTTACTACTCTGTCCACGTTTTGTCATGATTATACTACATAAGAAACGAAGCACTGACGATAGGAAGTGTGGTTTCGATAGAAGTGGGAGAGTCCCTCACGAAATAACGGTTACAGGAAAGAAAGACAAATGAGTAAATCAGAAAATGCTTTTCGAAGGCTTGAAAGTTGAATCGAATCGAACCTCTCTCCTACTTATAGGGATAAGTTGCGCAGAAATCGAAGAGTCATCATTCAAAACGTGCGCGGGAAACCAAAATGTCACATCGTCCTCTGAACCGCCTCGGGGGCAAATATAATAATGATGCATACAGGCAATGACGTCATTCCAAAAAGGAAGCCACGCGTCAGTGGCTCAACAACGTCATATATTTCACCTCATTCATATTGCCGCCCCTGGTCGAGGTCAAATTCTCCTAAGCCGAGGTTCGCAATTCCGCCCATCGAAGACGCCCACCGAATGCGTCTCCAACGAGCGGAGGGACTAACTGTATAGGGTCAAATTTGACCCTCAGCATCTCTACGCCAGTGGGTACGCCCAGTGAGTGTACGCTGACTAACGTAGCGGGTACGACTCGGACGTGGGGACAAAAGCGGCATCGTTTAGGACTCAGTGTCTTCACTAGGGAGACGTTACCTGTCTTTGTAACTTTTTGATTCTTTCGAGGAAGGTCTCTTATTATATAAAGGAGACCTTCACATTGTAAAGGGGGGATTCGGATCTAATACAACTCTCTCATTTTCTGGCTTTCTCTCTCTATCTCTACCTCAACGAACATATCTTACTGAGTTCATATTATCACTTTGCAATACTAGATCTACAACTATAATATCATCTTTGCATCTCTAGGTTTATTATATTTGATTACGATTTACCCTTTTCTTACTTTTGATTGTTTTCTAGCTTACAAAGTATATTGTTAACTTTTGAGCCAAACAAATACAATAACTTGAATACATTACCATAACAACTGACGGGTAGCGACGGAAAGTAACTATGTATATGCGTCAGTATCTTGAATCACTAGGAATTCTGATGGGGCAAAATCTGAACGGTAGCACTAAAGGATCCTATTAATCGCCCAATAATCATTACACTAGTTTTGCATTCTTTTGATGTCTTTCTAAGAGAAAGTGAAGCAAATGAGAAGATGAAGAACAACGCCTATTTGACGGGATAGACAAACCAAACTTGCTATGCTGCAAGTTACTAGCAGTTATTTTATTAATAAGATTACATTGCACGCACTAACGAGAGGATTTAGTAATTCAGCTTCAACATAGAACTGAGGCCGCCATCAACAGCCAAATTATGACCGCTAATGTAAGCTGATTCATCTGACGCCAAGAAAAGTGCTGCTTGTGCGATATGCTCCGTGCTCAACGTAACACCTTTCAAGTGAGCATTTCCAGATATTCCTGCTTCCAACGAAGCGGCATCGCAGCCGTAGGCTTTGCATACGAGTGGCGTTGCAATGCCATACGGCGACACGCCGTTTACCCTGATTCCGTGCAGCCCTAGCTCGCGCGCCGCCGCTTTCACAATGCCTACGACTGCATGCTTGGATGCTATGTAGGCCAGTGAGGCTGCTCCAGCAAGAATAGCCTCAATGCTCGCGTTGCATATGATTGAGCCTCTAACTTGCTTAGCAACCATGACTCTAGCTGCATGCTTGACGGCTAATGCCGATCCTCGCACGTTGACGGCCATTGTTTTGTCAAAGGCCGTCATATCCATGTCGAGAACGCTGCAGAAGTTCAGTGTTCCGACATTGCTAAACATGATGTCGAGAGTGCCGTATTTTTCAACAGCGTAGGCGACGGTTTCCTCGACTTGTTTCTCGTCAGTGACGTCGCAGTGACGGTAGCTAGCCTTGTCTGTTCCAATGGACGCCACTACTTGGAGACCAAGTTCGTCTTGAATGTCGGCAATTACCACTCGAGCCCCATGTTCCACAAACAATCTTGCAGTTGCTTCTCCAATGCCACTTGCTGCACCAGTAATTACAGCCACTTTACCCTCCAACCTAGTGCAATAAAATGAGAACCAAACATTACTACTAGTAATTAAGTTTTAATTTTATGATGAATGCACATTTTACACTTCAAATTTGTACGGAGCTTATACATAATTTGCATCTTTTCCAAATGCATATATAAAGTAAAATGGAGTAGACATGTACGTTAGAGACGTCCTGCTGATAGTGAAACCATATTATTAACTTGTTAAAGGAAACACATTTGAGACAGCTAGCTAATTCAAATGAGCAAGAGACCAAAGAGAAGAAATTAAAAGGACAATTAGCACCATTTAAATAATAGTAGTATATAATTACCTTAGCTTATTTGCCATTGCATATATAAGAGGAACTTCCCTTGTTGGAACAACTGGTTAAGTTACTTGGTTTTTATAGAGTTGTCTGCTGGCTGAGGCTCCCCTCCAGCTACAGGACAATAACTTCTCCCATGCCACAAATTCAGTGCTTTTTTCTTTTCTTTTTTGGGGGGAAGTTCTCCATTTAATTTTGTCGCTTCCTCAAAACTAACGTGGGGCAGGTAATGGGCATTTAAGAGGCATGAAATTAAGTACGCACATCTAGGATTAACACTTGGTAGACATGCAATATAAACCACAATGCAGAATCACTCTTACATTCAATAATACTCAGTCCGGTTCACAATAAGTGACCAGTTCACTTTTAGTACGCCCATTAAAAAGATGCTAAATTCTATTCAAAAATACTTAGTAATGACTAAACGTACCCTTATTAAATATTGGTCACATAGTTATAGTGAGGAGTGAGAAAACTTTTTAGGGATATGCATAAGGGTAAAAGAGTAAAAACAAATTGAATTTTTTCTTGATTACATAACTGGACACTTATTTTGAAACAAAATGAAAAAGTAAACTGGTCACTTATTGTGAACCGGAGGGAGTACTATATACTCCATTCGTTTCAAAAAGAATGGATCTTTCATTTTTTGGGGAGTCAAATAAGGTTTTCTTTCATCATAATTTTTGCAAATAATTTTTAAGCTATTGCAACCTGTAGTATTCTCAAAATATGTAAATTTTATTTTAAAAAATTAAAAAAAAAACCTATGTGAATTGTCACCGAAAATTAGTTAATTTAACTCTCATGAAAAGATTCAAACAAATTGGAATGGATGGGGTATTAAATACTCAGGCTTCCTCAAAACTTACACGTTTGATAAACTCGAAGGGACATTTAAGAGGCATGAAAGTATGCATACGCATTACTCTCTCCGGTCCAAAATAAGTGATTTTTTAGATTTTTTCACACAAATTAAGAAATTCACCTTTTAACATTAAGTAGCAATGAAATTGAACCTATAGTTAACCTTTAACTATCTCTTCACATAATACTCCTAATCATACTCAACACTATTACTNTGTGAGGAAGACCAAGTCAAAAGGGGTGGGGATCCCTGATTTTCAGAATTGCGGCGCTCTTCATTAGAGTCTCCTCAGAGTATAGGCGTTACTTTTTGTATGTGCATATGGTGTGTTTGTGGTGTAGATAGTATTATATAGGGTAGGGATTAGGTTAGGGGTATGGGCCTAGGAACTATGAGCTAGGGATTTTGGGCCAAGATTTGTTTGACAATAGAAGGTCTTTTTCATGTGCTTAGCTGGAATAGTAAGTTATATTACTCCTTCCGGTTCAAAATAAGTGATTTTTTAGCTGTTTTCACACAGATTAAGAAATCCACCTTTTAACATTAATTAGCAATGAAATTGACCATATTAACCTTTACTATCTCTTCACATAAATACTTCTAACACATACTCCAATATTATTTACTCCAAGGGCAATGTAGGAAAAAAAAATTAATTCATTCTTGAAATCTGGGAAAATCACTTATTTTGGACCACAAAAAAAAAGGCCAAAAAATCACTTATTTTGGACCGGAGGAAGTAGGATATCTTACACTAAGGATACTTCAATCCAGTTGCTCAAACTATATGAAGCTAAAAATTCCATAATTATTTTTTTCCAGAACTTTATTGTGCAGATATAGACGAAAAGTTCCTAAAGTCTTGGACCATTTACAGCTAAGAGGCTGCTGGATATGATAATTGTATTGGGTGATACCCTTTTTTGCTTGAGCCCGACCGGGTTGGGTCCGGTCCGGGGCAAGTCGGGGCCATCGAACCCGACCTGGATGCAAGGTAGAACGACGGCCACGTCTACAACCGAGGTCGAGTCATTTCGAGACCGTTACAGAGCTCGATATGAGTCACCACCGGATGGAGAAACACACAAGGTCGGAAGCCGGACTCGTAACGGATAACCAAGCGTCGCCGGATATCTCGCCCAAACGTGATTTTCTCAACCACTTCAGGCCATTAAGGCGTAATTACAGGGATCCGCGATGTAATCAATTTACCTACCTTATTTTTACCCTTAAATCAGAATGTATAAAAGGGGGGATCTCTCTAAATTCTTGTACGCTATCAAGCACAATTGTTCTAAGCAATATTATATTCTGCGATTATTTACTTTAAACAGCAATTGTTGAGTCTTTATCTTTATTTTCCTCAACCTAAACCTTTTGTATCTTTTAGTTCACGGATCCTTAAAACCCCATATAAATTCAATTGTTATCCGGATTCCAGGGTAAACAGTTTGGCGCCCACCGTGGGGCTAAGGATATTAGTGAGCTCTTTGATACTCTTTCTTGACGCATCACAATACACTGGTTCTTTGCAAAAGAGTCCATCTTACATTCAAATTACCAACTCATAGAATGGCACAATCAATCAACAACGAACTTGAACAGCAGACAGGAAACAATGGAATGCCCGGGCTCGAAAACCCGATAGATGCCGGTTCCCGGATGGCGCTCAACACTGATCAGGCCTCCAGATCATCGCATAGCGTCCAGGGAGAGGACGATTCGAGGGCCCAGGCAGTCGGCGAAGAGACTATCAACCTTAAAATGATTTTTGACATGCTGCAAGCCCAGCAATCGGCTATAGCTCAGCTCCAGAGCCGGGCCCAGGAGCCTGTCAGGTCCGAGGAGGCTCCCCGTGCAGCTGCAATCATCAATCCGACCCCAGTACAGCCGGAACGGGGTGGGCCGGATGCTGATTCTGCGGTTCTTAGGAGGCTAGAAGAACTGACCGAACGAATCGAAAAGGGGGAGGAAAAGATCGAGGCCAACAATAAAAAAGTAGAAACATACAACTCCAGGGTCGACCAAATACCAGGTGCACCTCCGGTCCTGAAAGGCCTTGACGCTAAAAAGTTTGTACAAAAACCGTTCCCATCCAGTGCCGCCCCAAAACCTATCCCTAAGAAATTTAGAATGCCCGATATCCCGAAGTATAATGGGACCTCGGACCCAAACGAGCATGTGACAGCATACACATGCGCGATTAAGGGAAACGATCTCGAAGATGATGAAATCGAGTCAGTTTGTTGAAAAAGTTTTGGAGAAACCTTGTCCAAGGGGGCAATGACGTGGTATCATACCTTACCGCCAACTTCCATCGATTCGTTCGCCATGTT